TACTACTAGTCTTACTAGTACTAGTACTACTACTACTACTACTACTGCTGATGCTGCTACTACTACTACTACATACTACCGACTACTACTACTACTACTATTACTACTACTACTACTACTACTACTACATCTACTACTACTACTACTACTACTACTACTACGACGACTACTACTTATGATATTACTAGTGCCACAATTTCCACTACTACTACTACTACTGATATTTGTATTACTACTACTACAACTACTACTACTTCTACTATGACTACTATTACTACTACTACTGCTACTACTACTGCGCCTACTAATACTCCTACTACTATTATTATTACTACTACTACTACATACTACCTAATATTACTACTACTACTAGTACTACTACCGCTACTACTACTACTACTACTACTACTGCTACTACTACTACTACTAATACTATTACTACTTCTACTACGAGTACTACTACTACTACTACTACTACTACCACTACTACTACGACTACTACTAATACTACTACTCGTACCACTACTACTACTACTACTACTACTACTACTACTACTTCTACTCCTATTCCTGCACCTACTCCTACCCCTGCCCCTACTCCTACAACTACTACTACTACTACTACTACTACGGCTACTACTACTACTACTACGACTACGACGACGACTACTACTACTACTACGACTACGGCTACGACTACTACTATTACTACTACTACTACTACTACTACGATTTCTACTACTACAAGTACAACGGCGACGACTACTACTACTTTACTCTTACTTCTGCGACTGGAGTATTTTCTACTCATACTACTACGGCTAGTAGTAGTAGTAGTAGTAGTACTACTACTACTACTACGACTACGACTACGACTACGACTACTACGACTACTATTACTACTACTACTGCTACTGCTACTACTACTACTACTACTACGACTACTACTACTACTACTACTACTACGAGTACTACTACACTACTACTACTACTACTACTACTACTACTACTACTACTACTACTACTACTACCACTACTACTGCTACTACTACTTACTAACTACTACTACTACTACTACTACTACTACTACTACTACTACTACTACTAACTACTACTACTACTACTACTACTACTACTGCTATTACTACTACTACTACTACTACTGCTACTCGTACTATAACTACTACTTCTACTACTACTACTACTACTACTACGACTACTACTATACTACTACTACTACTCTACTACTGCTGCTACTACACTACTACATACTACGTACTAATACTACTACTACTATTACTACTACACTACTGCTACTACTACTACTACTACTACTACTACTACTACTACTACTACTACTACTATTACTACTGTTACTACTTCTTCTACGACTACTACTACTACTACTACTTCTACTACTACTACTACTACTACTCCTACTACTACTACGACTACTACTAATACTACGACTAGTACCACTACTACTACTACTACTACTACTACTACTACTACTACTACTACTACTACTACTACTTTTACTACTACTACTACGACTACGACTACGGCTACTACTACTACTACTACTACTACTACTACTACTACTACTAGTACTACTACTACTACTACTACTACTACTACTATGACTTCTACTCCTATTCCTGCACGTACTCCTACTCCTAATCCTACCCCTGCCCCTACTCCTACTCCCATCCCTGTAACTCATTCGAATATACTCCTACTCTCCCCTCTGGCTGGCCGCTAGGGTTTCCATCCGGACCTTCCCATCCTAACTTTCAAAAATCAATACAAAGTCGTCATTGTTTCTCTCAGAATGGCCTTTCTTGTCGTCGACGATGCGAGTTGCGTAGCAGGAATAGGACGCGGCACACACCGCGCGCGGCCGTCAATCCGGGCCCCCCCATCCTAATTTCACACAATCATTACAAAGTCGTTGCGTGTGTTCTCAACGTGGCCTTTCCTGTCGTCGACGATGCGAAATGCGTAGCAGGAATTGGACGCGGCGCACATCGCGCGCGGACGTCTGGGGCAACCCCAAGCGGGAGGGGCCGTCCGACCTGTCAAAAACAATACAAAGTCGACATGTTCTTTCTCAGTGGGGATTTTCTTGCCGTCGGCTTTGCGAAATGCGTGGCAGGAAAGGGGTGCGGTGCACATCGCGCGCGACAGGGCGAAATGTCGCTCTCGCTCCAGCGCCGCGCGCATGTTTTCTGAAAGTTGCGTTCCCGCTGAGGCGCAGCGCACATTTCTCGCTCGCCAATTCGTCGAGCACCTAGGGCCACCTGGGGCCTCCCTTGGTCTCCTGGGGCATCCTGGGGTTTCTGGGGGCTTCCCCAGGGCCTCGTAGATCCTCCTGGAGCCTCCTGAGGCATATTGGGGTTTCCTGGGATTCCCCGGGAGCTTCCTGACACTTCCTGAGGCTTCCCGAAGTTTCCTGGAATCACCTGGGGCTTCCTGGGCCCTCCTGAAGCCTCCTGGGGCTTCCTGGGGTCGCTGGGGCTTCTCCTGAGACCTCCTGGGGCCTCCTGAGGTTTCCTGGGGACTCCTCGGCCCGTGCTGACATGCCAGCGCAGTCTGTGAGACGCGCCAGGGGTTTCTTATCGGTAACCGCCATCGCGGCTGCATCAGCTGTGGCAAACCACCTTGCCGATCTGAGTTCGGTCCCCAGTTGCGCCAGCACTGTTTCGTATGTTGCTGGAGGGCAGGTGAGAATGGGCATGCCGTGCTTGACTCGCTCGAGCTGGCTAGCTTGTCCCCTACTCCTACTCCTATTCCTACTCCTACTCCTACTCCTCCTCCTCCATCCTTGCCCTCATCCTCCTCCTCTTACTCTTCTGCATCCTCCTCCCTTTCTTCCTCCTCGTCCTCCTCCCTTTCTTCCTCCTCTTCTTCCTCTTCCATTTTCCTCCTCCATATTCAGGCATGCAGCTCACGTTGCAAGCGGTGGCACTGAGACGCACCGCCACCCCCAGCGTTTCATCCATCCATCCATCCATCCATCCATCCATCCATCCTCCTCCGATTTGGAAAGGTGGAACCTCAAAGATTTGCAATGGTCGGCACCCGAGGCTTGACAATGTTAGCATGGAGGTTGCCCCTGAAGGATATAAGTATTGTGTTTTCTTCTGCGTGTACTTCGCTGGAGGACCATCCTCCCTTAGGAGAGGCCTCGTTGAGTTTGGCTTCTCGGGACGATGCTCAGAGCACGTCTCTTGGCACTGCCCAGGCAGTGCAGGCTCCCAACGCGGAGCCGCCCCTGTTGAGAGCTCACGACCCCGCCTGGCCACAGGGTCCAGTCGTCGCTGAGTCGTTGGAGGTTCTGTCGGAGGTTGTTGGTTGGAGGTCCACCCCTACCCAATGCGGTAGAGGGACAGCCAGGAAAGCAGCTCGCAGATGTGGCGGAGGCCCTCCGCCTAGAGGGGGGACGAGGCGCCACTCGTCACCGCTGCCCGCGCAAGCTCGGCGCAGTCGGGTGACTCTGACTGGGGTCTTTGTGTCGGTACTCTGGGGTCTCTCGCTCAGCGTTGGCCACTGCAGGGGTCCTCCTCCAGGCGAGCCCAGGCCAGTCTTGCTTGGCGTCCTGATCACCAAGGCCCGGCACAGGTTAGAAACAGCACCCTCTTCCTCCTCTCTTCTCTTACGGCCTCGACGAGTGGCGCACGCAGTCGCCGCCTGCGCCGCGAGCTTGTCGGGGGCTCCACCGGGCCGCCCCCGCTCGCAGGCCGAGGCAGCGGACGTCGCGTCGTATCTCCTGCCTCCTCCTTCTTCCCCTTCTCCCCCCCCTTGGGGGCGCGCATCCAGATAGCCACGCAGAGGTCAAAACGAGCCACCGAGCTCAGCCGCTGCTGCACGATATCCAAGCGCCTTGCCTTACCTGCCTCTCCACCTGCTACTCCCTCTTCGCCTCATCATACTCCCTTCTCCCTTCTCCTCCCTTCCTCCTCCCTCTTCTTTCTCGCCCTCGCTCCCTCTCCTCCTCCTCATCATCCCTCCTCCTCCTCATCATCCCTCCTCCTCCTCGTCCTCATCTTCCTGCTCCTCCTCCTCCTCCTCCTTGTCCTCTACCTCTTCCTCCTCCTCCTCCTCCTCCTCCTCCTCCTCCCCTCTTCCTCCCAATCCCTCCCCCATCTCTTCTATCGCCTCCTTCTCTTCCTCCTCTTCTCCCGTCACCCAGCATCCGACGCCGTGGAGTATCACGATGCCGTGGCGAAACTCACGACCTGAGCCCTCGACACCATGTGAGGCGTTCCAGAAATGGCCCGTCTTCGAGGCTCGAAGGCGTTTGCATGTCTTCGGCAGACGGCGGCGGAAGCTTGGCGGAAGGCGGCGGAAGTGAAATGAGGCTACCTCCGCCGGTGGAAGGCCGGCAGAAGCTTGCGGAAGGGGGAAGTTGACCATCAATGGCAGCATTTTTGGGTTCAGGATTTCCGGAATCCGCCATGTGTTATTGGCAGCCTGAACAGGGGAGAGGTCGCCCGTGATGACTCCCCCACGGCGCCCAGATGTCGGAGCCCCCCCTCCTCCTCCAGCCGCCTCCTCGTCCCTGGCCCCTCCCGACGGCGAACGTACACCTTCTTGGGTTAGGTTATTTTGCTGCTTCGAGTCAAGGACACGGTCTGTACCCGGGCGGTGCGGAGTAGGCGGGTGGCTCGCTACAGTGGCCGTCGCTTGGCCACACTCGTGTCGTGCGCGTCTTTATCTGAAGCCCTGGCATGTCAAATTGGGGAGCCAAAAGGTACTGGTACCGCTACTTTCTGGACCTCTCCTGGGATGCGTTCTGACGAGAATTTCGAGGGGAATCCAGCGGTGGCGACGAGGGCAGGCGCAAACAGGGGAAACCGAAGCAAGGCTATCGATGTCGGTACCTTTTCCTCCGCCTAAGATTTCACTTCCACTTGGCGGTGACGACGAGAGCGAGAACAACAGCGACGACGACGACGACGCCGACGCCGTCGCCGCCGACGGCAACGACACCCCCGCAGGATGGCTCTCTTGCCGACGCCTCTGGAGCCTCGAACGGCGGCCCCGCCCCTTCCGGCAGCGACGCCGGGGCAGCGGACGTCTTGGGATCACCAAGCCCATGCAAACATGGCGTGAGAAACCGGGTTGGTAGCTAAGGGCCCTCTCTTAGCAAGAACGGGGTGACAGGGCATTTACCTCGCAGTAGTGCGTGACACATCGGGACGACAAAAACGTCGATACATTATCCTAATTTTGAGCGGGGGGGTTATCTCGCATTTTTACGCGGTAAGCAGTTTCTTGAACACGCACGTGAAAACACACACTCGGCCGCCAGCCTGTTTATTACCGCCCTGTTTGCAGGGCCTTGGGATAAAATCCATCCCCGACTGTCAGCGTCACGACAAAACAGAACGGCTTGTTCTCAGAGGAGGAAAAAGTACCCTTCCCTCGTTTCCCGCTTTTGGGGCATCCTGGGAGGCCCTCGTCGCCACCGCTGGATTCGTTTCGAAATCATGGTCCGAGCGCACCCCGGGAGAGGTCCGGTGAGTAGCAGTATGGGTACCTTCTGGTTTCCCCAAGTTCTCCACCCCAGGAGGTCTCACGAGGCCATCCGTTGTGCTCAGTCCTAGCTGTAACCTGATCTGGTCGTGCTCAGTTCTTCAAGTTCAGACTCGCCCATACCAAACCACTCATGTTCAGGTCCCTCTCACATTCCGGCCCGCTCTTTCGTCGCCGACCACATTCAGATGTTCCCACAATCAGGCTCACACATATACCTCCGACCTGTCCATCTCATGAGTTGTCACACATAACCAGGCTCACTCGTACATGTAGTCGTTCATGCGCAGACTCACTTATACCAATTTGCTCAACCTAACCTTTCGCTCATGTTGATCCTGCCCACACAAATTTAAGTATTGTGAAACAGCCATACTCAAGCTCACTCTTTCCCAGGTTTCGCTCGTAATTATCCAATTGCTCATTCTTGTATTCTCTTGGACTGATATTGTGTCGAGGTCGTATTCTTATACATTCGTGCTCACTCACTCACACTCAGACCCTCTTGTACTTTTGAAACAGGTGAGCATAATTTGTGTCTCAGGTTTTGCATTTAGTGTGCGTGTCAGGATCTCACGCGTACTCTTGTTTGGCTCAAGGGAAAAACATTTACTGCGCTTGCTGCTGCCACAGTTGGTAGCGGAGCCTGGTTCCAGGCTGGCGGGCCAATGGGCGGCGAGGGGCAGCGGCTCTGAGGGCCGCGCCCGGAGGCCGCTCTCGCGCTCCCGGCCAGGGCCAGGCTCGCGCCGCCCGGGCGGCGCGGCCGCGGAGATGCCCGCGGAGGATGACGATTTCGCTGGCGCGACCTTCGATCCAGACCGCCCCAGGGGGCAGGCAGCGGCGGAGGCGACGCTGGCGACAGGAAACATCGTGACCATTTCCATGGACCAGCTCCGAGAGATCGTGGCCGGCACGGTCCGAGAGACCATCGGCGCCACAAGACCGTCAGGTACGGGGACCGAGACGGCGGGCGCGGCCGGCTCTTCTTCTCGGAAGACAGTAACAGACAACGACGACGTCGACGGGAAGCCGACTTAAGGATCCTTGGTGGGAGGCAGCAGCGACATCGGATCCCTGGAACTCCGGCTCAGACCCGTCTCGGCCCTGGCACCAGCCAGGCAGCAAGGACGACAATTGGAAGGACGACGGCTGGAAGAACTCCAGCCAGGGTGACAAGTGGCAGGACAGCTGGTGGGCGAGCTCCAGTCCAAGCTGGGGAAAAGGAGACTACTCTGACCCACCAGCGTGGCCAGGGTGGGCACAATATCGACCTTGGCGCCGAGCACTACGGCGCTGGAACACTAACACGGATGTTCCCCACTGGCGACGAGGAAAAAAGTTCTTGAAGCTCTTCGATTATGCGATGCAGGCGAAGTTTGATGACACCCCCGAGGCCCAGATCACGGGCCACGATTGGATCGACGTAGTGTTAGGCCGCATGGATTTGATGATAGGAGAACGCGAAGGAGACGAGCTTCGGCGGGCAGGCCGTCGAGCTCTTTTCGAAGCATCTCGAGAGAGCAAAGAGACACTCATCCAGTACGTGAGTCGGCGAGAAGCTCAATTCCAGGAGGCCGAGACCAACGACCTCTGGATCTCTTCCAAGATGAAGGGGCTCATGCTGGAGGAGGGGGCTAACTTGACGGCCCAAGGTATGCAGAACCTCAGGACGCTCACTCGAGGAAAGCTCGAGTACAGCGACGTGAGCTGGGCCCTGAGGCAGATGGACGCCTCAGGCTCTGAGCGACTTTTGCCAGGTAGGGTGTCGAGCAATTACGCTGAGGGCGAGGGCCCCAGCGAGCAGAATTATCTTCCCCCTTCCTCCTTCCCGGTCGGTGGTTCAGAAGGTTCCGAGGACCAGGAGGTCGACGAGGAGGAGTACGACGATACCGAGCTGGACGACGAGGCCGCACTCTTGGCAGAGCTCGAGGACCTCGACTTGGACGAGACACAGGTGGAGGAGGCTCTGGCGATGATTGAGTCTCGACCCTCGAGCCGGACCTGGAAGCAGAATAAGGAGATCAAGCGCGCTGCTAAGCGCGACAGGGAGTACTTCGGCCCCAAGAAGGCAGGATCGGCGCCCCCGCCTCCCCAACGACCGGGGGGCGGTGGCCGCGGGCGGCCGGACCGCGGCAAGGGCCGCGGCAAGGGGCGCCGTCCCAGGCTCTCTCCCGAGCAGCTGATGAAGATCACCAGGTGCGGGATATGCAAGGAGAAGGGGCACTGGCATCGCGAGTGCCCCAACAAGGACGACCCCAAGTTCAAGAAGCGGGGCCTGGCCGCGTACACCTTCGACGGTGTCGCGTCGGACCCAGCAGGCTCGTGGGCGGTGTCCCCGGAGACCCTGCAGGACTGGCAGGAGGTCGGCCAGGAGCTGCTGGACAACGGCTGCGTGTACCTCGTGGCCAGGGCGACCCAGGGGCTGGTGGATCCAGGAGCGGGCTCGGACCTGGTCGGGCTCGCGGCTCTGAACCGAGAGTCGAAGGCTCTCGCCGCCGTCGGCATGAAGTACGAGCTGATTCCCCGACAGCATCAGCGGCCCCGCGCCGCTCACGGCGTGGGAGGTGCCGCGAAGGTCGTGACCTCAGTACTCTTCCCGCTGTGCCTGGGAGGAGTGCTCGGCATCATCGAGACGACGGTGCTGCTGGAGGAGGTTCCGCACATTTTGTCGGTCAACCTCCTGGAGTTTCTGGGCTGCGTCATCGACCTGCCCCAGAACAAGATGACCTCCGCCACCCTAGAGACGGACATCCAGCTGACACGTCTCGGATCGGGCCACCGGATGGCCACGATTGTACAGGCGCTCGAGATGCCGCTGGGCGTGCCGGAGTCTGCACTGCGAAAGTATCCTTGTCTCTCACAGAATTCGTTTCAGCTGAACACTGGCGACGCGCCAGAGATGCTCGAGTCCGGAGTCCTGAGGGCTTACATCATCCTGGTCATCATCACTCTCGCTATCATCCTGTTCGTGACAATGGGCGTCTGGATGATGAGCCTCGAGAGGGCCTACGAGAGGGTCGTCTTGGGGATCAGTGCCTCTGTCGCGGGGATCGGCCTCGCGATGGCCACGCACCGGAAGGGGCTCAAGCACGAACCATTCGGGCACCTCCAGTCTGGGGCTCAGCTAGCGCCTTGGGAGCTCAGCGTCAGATCTGTTGGGGCAACTAAGGCGATATGGCCAGCAAGAGCTGCGACAAGGACCTAGTCCCGACGATCCGAGGCACCTCCGGCAGGGAGCGAGTCCGTAGCCCATCTTGGCTCGAGCCATCAGCCAGACTGTGTCAACTCGATCATCGAGCGACCATTGTCTCAGTCAGCATACAGCAATGGCCCAGAGGCTCTGGGCTTGGTTCCTCTTCATCGCCAGGGCAGCGGCGGCGCCCTCCCCGGCTCCTCGTCAGCTCCCAGGCGCCTACCACGCGACTCAGCGGGCGCTGCAGGAGCTCCACCAGCAGTACATGGCGGGCGTTGGAGGCGATGGCGGCGGGCAGAGTCCACTGGTGCAGACGGACTCCGACACCGACACGACAGGCGAGCAGGGCCTCGTTCAGCAGGATCAGCAGGCAGCGGCTCAGGCAGTACCGACTCCGAATCAGGAGGCAGCGGGGCAGCTGCCACCCCAGCCAGCGCCTGTGAGCCTTGCTCCCCAGGGGCTCGGGTACCAGCCGCCACCGCCGCCCTATCCACCACCCGAGGTGGTGGCAGGTCAGGGCCGGGCGCAGCTTCAGCCAGGGACAACGACTCCACCACAGCAGCAGCAGCCTCCAGCGAACAGCGGGCTGCAGGGGTCCCCAGCGGCCACGCAAGTGCCTCCTCAAGCCTCGGGCGCATCGACCATTCCAGTGAAGCCGGCACCTGTGCTTGCGAAGCCAGCGCCACAACCACTGCCCTTGAAGCCGCTCCCGAAGCCATTTCCGCGGACGGGCAGGCTTCCTCCTCAGCAGGGCGGTCCAGCTGCCATCCCGGTCGGGAACCAGAAGACGGCACCGCCTTCGAACGATCGCTCGACTCCAGCTGCAGAGTGCTCTCACCCAGCCGATCAGGTCCAGTACTACGGGAACCAGTGGGGGAGCGGCTCCAAGTGTCGAGCATGCGGCACCAGAATCGCATGGATACCGAGAGGAGCTGCGGGCGCGGCCGGGCAGGGACTTGGAGGGCCAGACGACCGTCCGGAGTCGGCAGCTCAAGCAGCCCGTGCGGCGGCCAGGTCGGCCCAGAGGGCCGTGGATATCCTTCAAGAGGCGGGCGGTTTCCAGCAGGGGGCGGCAGCTCTCACCACGGTCAACCAGCTCGCGAGCTACCTGCAGGCGTTACAGTGGCAGCTGCGCAACATTCCGGAGGGTTTGAGAGCCCTCGGCAACGTACAGGAAACGCTCAACCAAATGATTCAAGTGGCTCAGAGTGTGCAGAGTCATCCGAGCCAAGTGGAAGAGGGTCTCCTCCAGATTCACCAGGCCCTGGTTACGATACAGAGGGCGCTGGGGCCCATGGAGTCATTCAGGGAGAACCTCGACTTCATACAGACCACGTTGGACAA